AAGCCTCTCCAGACTTTGTCCCCAAGTCTGATGCCCTGCCTGGCTCCAGCATGGCCTTCAGAGCATGAGTCTCAGAAGCAGCTCTGCTTGATGGGCCCTCGGCTCCCACCTGCCTGCAGCAGAGGCTGGAATGGCATCTCCTCTCTCCCTGTATCTCACATCTCCTCAGCTGGCTGTGAGAGGGCTGCCTGACTCACCGACAACTGGTGCTGTCAGGCTGGCTGTCATGTGGCACAGTGGGTCCCGAGCGGGTGGGTGTGTTCTCAGCCCAATCAGGAGGCCTGTCTCCCCACTCTTTGTTTCCCCTCCTTGCTGCCTTGGTGCCTAGGAAGACAGCCAGGGAAGGGAAAGTCTGACCTCTCTTCCTGTCAACAATGACTTTCTGCTTGGAGCTGACCCCTGTGGGGTGAGTCAACAGGAAGGGCCATCTGCCTCTGCCCAGTGGAGGAGGAAGCCTGGGAGAAGAGCGTGCCTTCCACCTTTCACCTTCCATAGCCCAAGGCTCCAGCAGGCTTAGAATAGGCTCCCTGCCAACCCCAAAGTGGGGTGGTCTCTATATTCCTCCACTTTCCCCAGCCCCCTATAGTTCAGCCTACAGGCCACTCCAGAGTGATGTTCTTAAACATGCCTGTGACTGTGTCTTCTTGGTTATAATCCTCAGATGCTCCTCATTGCCTCTGGAATAAAGTCCAAATGCCTTCAGTTGGCTCCAGGCTCCTTTCTGACCACACCACCCTTCGCTCCCTCGTGTCCTTTGCTCCAGTCAGGCTGACATCCTTCACTCCTGGGTAGGACACAGGACAGACACATGACCATCTGTACACTTTTGCCTTTGTGGTGCCCCTTCTCCAGCATTCCCCTCGCTGGAATGTTTTTTCTTTCTAGATGCACTCATACATTAAACCCCATTTCCATCCATCCATTAAAAAATGAAATTTTAATTAAAAAAATTAAAAATATTTATTGAGTACTTCCTTTGCGCCAAGCCCTGCACCATGAACCGACATTTCTTCTTCCGGCAAGCTGGACAAGCACCCATGGGTCTGCCAGGCTGGTGAAGAGTGAAGACACATACACAGGCCTTGCAGTGGAGGAAGGTGACTCAAGGTGCTATGGGAGCACCTGGAAGGGACACCTCCCCAGCCCTGAAAAGATGGCTGGAGGAGGGAACACCTCTGCTGATTTCCTGGGGAGCAAGTAGGAGTTAAGTGGCCAAGGGTTCCTGGGCAGAAAGCAGGCAGGCAGGTCTTTTGACCAGAGGAGACAGAAAGTAGAAGGCCCAAGACGAGACAGTGCACTCTAGGAACTGGAAGTTAGTCATAAAATCTGGAGTAGAGCCAGGTGTGGTGGCTCCCACCTGTAATCTGAGCACTCTGGGAGGCTGAGATGGGTGAATTGCTTGAGGTCAGGAGTTCAAGACCAGCCTGAGCAAGAGCAAGACTTCATCTCTTAAAAAAAAAAACCCAAAAAAATCTACCTGGGCAGTGTGGCAGGTGCCCATAGTCCTAGCTACTTGGGAGGCTGAGACAAGAGGATCCTTTGAGCCTAGGAGTTTGAAGTTGCTGTGAACTATGACACCATGGCACTCTACTGAAGGCAACACAGTGAGATTCTGTCTCAAAAAAATAAATAAATCTGGAGCAGAGGTATCGGGAAGTGATAACAAGAGGCTGGGAGTTACCTCATGGCCCTACACAGTTTGGAGTTCACCCTGAAAGTCATGAGAAGCCATTGGTTTATAGGAGAGGCTTGGGATGGACAGGTTTGCACCTGAGTGACCAAAGCATGAACCCCAGATTGGAGGAAGGCCAGCTGCACCCGGGAACCATATACATGGTGGTAGTTTGTGTGGTCTGGGCGAAGACCCACTCCAGACACACCAGCCTTCTTGTTAGTCTTCTTTACAAGCTCATCTCTCACCTCAGGGCCTTTGTGCTTATCTCCGTGGTACTTTGCTACTTTCCTCCACCTAGAATGTCTCTCCCTAGACAGTCACGTGGCTCATGCATCCAAATAATTCAGGCTTCTGTCTAGAGCAGCTCTTTCCCCACATCACTCTGTTTACCCTGCTTTAGTTTGCATCTTGGCTTTTGTCACTTCCCAACATGATATCATAAAGGGGTGTGTGTGTGTGTGTGTGTGTGTGTGTTTGTTTATCTCCACCACTGGAATGTGACCTCCCTCAGGGGAGGGATTCAGTCTGTCTGGTTCACCTTCACATTGAAGGTGCCTGAGGCGTGCCCAGAGTGGACAGCCAGTATATGCTGGTGTCTGGATGCACCGGGGATGTCTGACTCACCAGGGAGCATGAGGGCTGCACCTGGAGAAGGGAGCAGAAGGGTGGGAGTGGCACCGCAGTCAGAGCGGGAGGAGAAGGGGCCAGGGACAAACCTGGGAGCTGCAACATCTTTGCTGAGCTCAGGCAGGGGAGCAGAACTCCCAGAGGAGGGGAGAAAGAATGGCCAGAGTGTGGACCTTGTACTCATTCCTTGGACGAGGGCCCCAGGTAGTGGAGTGAGTGCCCAGGTGTCTAGGGAGTGGAGGTCCCTCTAGGAAAGGGTGACTAGGAGCATCACACAACCCCTGAGCGGGCAAGTCTGCAAAGGCCCCTTGGGCTAGTCCGCTGCTGGCATCCCCTGGGACTGCAGAGACAGACTCCAGACACAGTGGAGAGAAACCCTAGAGAGGGGTGGCGCAGAGGCAGGCGGGAGCTAGATGCATGTGCCAGGCACTGGGGTGACAACTGGGAGTGAGGGGGAGCAGCCTCCGTGGAAAATCACCACAGCCTCCCAATTGCTCTCCTGGCCCCGCTTTGGCAGCAAATACTCCATTCAGAGTAATCTTTTAAAAGCATAAATCAGATCATGTCACTCCCCTGCTCAAAACCATTACTGAGAATAAAACCCAAACTCCCAAAAGTGATTAACAAAGACCCCAGGGGATACAACCCTGCCTTGTCCTCTGACACTGCCCCCTGCTCACACCACTCCAGCCACTTGGCTGCTTGCTGGCCCTTGAGAAAGTTGGCCCCCACCCCAGAACACTGGCACTGGCTGCTCCTCTTGCCTGGAAGGCCCACCCCCAGATTGCCCCCTGGCCCTCCCCCCTGCCCACATTCAGCTGGCATTCTCCATTTATAGAGGAATAAGCCCAGGTTTGGAGCAGGAGAGTAACTTGCCCAAAGACGGGGCCAGAGCTGATTGCTGCCACAGCCAGTGAATGCAGACCAGACAGCAGCTCTTCTTACCCACAGTGGGGGGCCTCCTACAGAGAGGAATAAACACAGGCCAGTCCTCTGCCTTCTTCTAGGAGAATGAGGAGGAAGATTTCCTAGGAGGCCTGAACCTGGGGTGAGGGAGCTTGCCCGGGCTTCTTGCCCAGGCCTGAAGTGTGGTTGGGCCACGTGAGAGACCTGAGCACTTTCCATTCCAAAGCTCAAAGGGGCACCTCCGATCCCAATAGCCCACTTCTATCTTCAGGGGATAAGTAGGGACTTGCCTCAGGATGGGGGAAGGGGGTGGGCCTTGCTAAGGAAGCCTGACCCTTTGGAAACTTCTCTACTTCTGTGCCTTTCTCAAGCTGCTGGGAATTCCCCACTTCCTGGTAGGAACCTATAGTGCCTAGGGGGATTTTCCTCAGCCCTGGAATTCAGGACACTTTCTGGATTTTATCATCTGGTCTTCAGCC